CACTCTGGAGCTCAGTCTGGAATGTCTTCCGTGCACCAGTTATGTTCTCCAGTTCTCTCCATCAAGCAGTGATGGCTGGCTCTTCCCTCTGAGTAACTCACTAAAGAACAGCCAGCACGCCCTTGGGCACTGGCGCGGTCTTTTAAAACTAGTACAGCCCAGTTCTCACCTAAAATTAACATAATTAAGAGAACTTGCCAAGGAAGTATGAAACATAAGTTTCGTTTATACAATATGAACAACTATAGATATTCTGGCTTTCTTTGCCTTTTTAAACCAGTGGAGCACAGGGGGAACACGCGGTCAGATTAGGGAGTGGATCTTGTCCTGGTTTCGCAGCTCACTGCTTTCTGCCACGACTTGGATTTCACAGGATACTTGAACTCTCGATTTGCTTCAGAGAGAATCCAGTTTGAGATAGTGTACGTAACCTGGAATTATATATGGCGGGTGCCAAGGAAACGTGGAAACCAGAGAATAAACAAAGGAAACCTACTTGGATGGTGGTTTTTCTTAAGAATACTTCAAAATATTTTATAAAGGAAAAGTTTCATTACAGATAGATTGGCATGCCACACTTGAATAGAATTTCAAGAATAAGAGGCTATAAAAGTATATAATGGAAAAACCACTAGAAGAGAAACTTAAGATGTCATTTCTAGTTCTGGCCCTGTCACCGATTAGCTGAAGCACATGTTACTTCATCTTTCTGTTCTGCTGCTGCTGCTTGGGATAAGTCTCTTTTAGTTAATATTCTATTTTCTATTAAATTTCAAAAATTCCAGGTTGTCTTTGCCTGAAATACTTTGCCACGCTTCACATGGGTGGCTACTTCTTGCTGTTCAGGTCGTGGACTCGATGTCTTTTATTTAGAGGTGTCTCCTAACCACCTAGCCCAAAGCAGGCATTCGGTCCAGATGGAATCGGGAATCTGTTGGGATGGGGCACCAAGGACACGATCTGGAAAGATCAGAGCTGAGGATCGGAGTGGGAAGCTTGCAAGGGAGATTTAGGGGTAGCAATTGGTAATGACGCAGGTAAGGACCGTGAGGATAAGAAATACTATAAAGAGATTTACCCAAGAGAATTTTTAATTTATCTTATCTTCCAGTTGAGGCAGAATCTTAGTCCAGAACTTTCTTCTTTTTATTATTTTTCTTAGAGATAGTCTCACTCTGTTGCCCAGGCTGGAGTATAGTGGCGAGATCATAGCTCACTATGACCTCTAACTCCTGGGCTCAAGCGATCCTCCTGCCTCAGCCTCCTGAGTAGCTGGGACTACAGACATATATGCCACTGCATCTCGCTAATTTTTAAAAAATATTTTTGTAGAGACAGGCTTGCCATGTTGCCCCAGTTAGTTTCGAACTCCTGGGCTCAGGCGATCCTCCCTTCTCGGCCTCCCAAAGTGCTAGGATTATAGGTGTGAGCCATTGCACCCAGCCAAAACTTTCTTCTTTAACTCTTTTAAAAGAAATATGTAATATTTCTGTTGCATATTTTACATCTTCAAAAATTGTCTAGAGCAATGGGCAACAGACTAGTGCTGATCCACAAACTGTGTGTTGTTGGTCTGCAGTAAGGAATAGAAATTGAGATTATTTAGAAAATTTTATAGCAATTTGACATTGCTTCATCATTCAAGCATATGATGAGTAAACTCATCTAGTTGAACAGGATGTTGTTGAATTTGCGTGGTGAGTGTTATGTTGTGTGAGCTGCATATGTCTTAGGCACAATAGGACTCCCGTTATAACCCATGATATTTTAAGGGTAACTTTTTAGCTGTAACCAAAATATGTATAAAAATCTGAGAGACTGTTAAGATTTCTTTTTAAAGGTTATTTTTATGATCATTTAAATTTTTAATCAAACCTGCTTTAAACATGTAGTTTAACATTATTAGCTAAATTAGGGAAGTAAATATCCTATTTCTGGATGGTGAATCAAGTTTCGCTGGATTTTTGTCAAGACATACCTTTTCTGAAAACAATCGAAATTTCGAAAAAGTATTTTTTAAAAACATGAAGTTCATGCCTCTTTTACTCACCTATGAAGCTTAGTTTTGCAGCTGTTGAAGTAGTAATTCTTTTTCCTTTTATGTTCTTGATTATATTTTTAGGTGCAATAAAAAGTGGGTTATTTTTGTATGCCTTTTTAGATTTCATTTTTCTAGAAATTCATTTTTTAAGTATTAGTCTGCACTAAACTGGAAATACAAAAATAAAAGGTGGTCCTTCACCACAGACTGAGAGCCATCTGATCTAGAAGCTGCAGTAAATGCTAAGTTAATCACAGTAGGAAGCTCTGAATGACTCGCTGGAATCTATTAAGTTAATGGTAATGGTTACGTGCAAATCAGGGCCAAGAAGTTAAGCCTTTCTGAACACAGGACTTAGCAAAATAATAAGGGACCATTTGTAAAAGGACTAATACTGGTTATAATTTTCTGCTTTCATGAAGAGTTCAAAACATCCTACACATGCACTGTCTTTCCAACCTCTGCTATTCTAACACCATTTATAATAGCAATGAGAAGTTTTAAAGAATTCAAATAAGGAAGAAATAGGATCTTATGACTGGCTTTGGTTGATGCCCTCATTTTATTTTCTAATGCTAAACAGTGTTTTTCTCAAGGAAAAGAGGCTATGCTATAGTCTTCTTAGTATTCCCCAGACCTAGCTCAAGGTCAGGCAGTGTTTCCAAGTGTTTACTGAAACTGGCATGTAAGGGGATATATGGAAAGTTTAGAAAAACTTTAGCTTCTTGACAGCTCGAGACTTCACCATTCTTAAGGTACCCGTAATTTTCTTACAGGGAAAAATTACCAAACTCCCTGCTATTCCTTATGCCATGCCAGATCGTCTTTGATTAGGCCTCAATTTAGAGAAACGAGTTCAGAATAGGAAAAAAGCTCACATTTACGTTGAGTTTAAAGTCACTTAATATCCCAGAGGTCACTGATCAAAAACAGCTGCCCCATTTCCCAGTGGGGAGTGAAATAATTCAGCTTAAGAAAAAAAAAGTCCATCAGTCCCAATGAACCAAGGTCTGACTTTGAAAGGGTTTAACATACTGAGTTCTCAATGCTACAGTCGAGTTACTCAACACAACTAGAGGAAAACACTCTAAATGAAATAAAACTGGTGGCATATCTACTTGCATGGATGCCACAGGAGGGCAGGGGTGGTGGTTTTGGTCACCGATGCATCCTAAGTGCCTGGTGCACGGTGTACACTCGCTAAACATCTGCTGGAAGATAATCCACGCAGATACCTCTCCTCAGTATCAAGAGGCCAGGAAAATAGACATACTTGTGACTCTTATTAGGTAAAAAATTTTATACTGGCACATGTCAAGTTTTAGATAGTTATGTTCATAGCTTGCCCATGTGAAATAAAATACCCAGTAAGAGTCAATTTAAGGTGTAAGATACTTAATGAAAAAAATACAATGGTCAAAAGAATGAGACGCACCAACAGTTTCAAGTATTGCTTTATGTACTCGTTTACGTTAATATACTTGAAAGACTCACAACTAGGAAATGTTTAGATAGCTATCTGGTCATGACCTTGGATATTCATCATCTGATTCTTTACCTCCTTTCTCCAAAAGATGGGGCACACAGCCTCCCAGAGGTAATGTAATGCTTTGGTGTTTAAGGAAAAGCCAATTGATTACCTATTTTGTACATGAGCATTTGTACATTTTACTATTATGTAAAATGTGGTACCTGACATACCACAGCTCCTAGCAGACGAATTTACTACTGGCATCAAGATGTACTGTGAAATACAGCAGATAAATATTTTACGGTAAAAATGGGTTTTTTTTAAATCTAATTGATACTCTTCAGCTATCCTTCCAGTGAAAGAATGTTATAAATGATGTATATGTATGCCAACATACACAAAATTGGGTAGAGCTGAACTTTAGCACTACATTTTAAAGGTATGCGCCAAACAAACCCTAAAGTTGTATTTCAAGTGAGAGTCAGCAACATCATGAAAAAAGTTACATTACATTGATTAGCAGGGCCAGTAACAAATGCAATGGCCAACTTCATCACTTAACATTTTACAAGAGACTTTTTATTGGTTTTAAAAACAGTTAAAGAATATTTTAAGGTACAGTTTATAAACAAAACAGCCATATCTTGATTTTTACCAACATGAAAATGCTCGTTTCCTTTCAGACTAGCCCCTGGACCACAGCTACACACATGGTGGTCAAGGGGTAAAATCCAGCTCCCGACACACCTGTGGTAACTGCTACCTGCACCTTCGTGAACACTGATTCTGTGGCCACAGAATCAGAGAATTTCTTCAATCTCATTTTGGACTTTAGTTGAGGATTCTACTCGTTTACAGAACTGTGGTCTTTCCTTCTCCCATTCCTTTTATAACTTCCTACCTCGTTTACTGCCAATTTGGTTTTCCTCCTATCTGAATTGCAAGCTTTAAATGTACCTCAATTTCCATTCCTTTTATGCCTGCATGCTTCTCTATAACTTATCAAAATGTAGAACTAGCTATAAACTACTACTATTCAAAGGTCAGTAAAACTTCCACAAATTAATTAGGGTTAGATTTAAATTTCTTCATCGAGATCATTTATTCAAAGGATTTTTGCCTTCATTAAAATTATTTGTCTACAAGTAAAATATCCATAAGTGTGTTTGAATTTGGTTCATCAGTAAGGATTTATGCATATCCAACTTTTCTCCTCATACAAAAGAGTATTAAGTTGTCTTTAAGCCAAAATTCTTTCCCAGTAGATTTTTTTTAAAGGCTTTTCAGCTATGGGAAACAGATTTAATTACAAAGTCCGCTAATAGCACTGAAGGTCACCAAGCTATGATACGATTTTGAATGGAACCTATCCAGTGCTATTTAACCTTAAAAAAAAAAAAAAGCCAATAAAAGGAATGGGAGATGAATCACAATAATTATTCACTGATAGTTAAACTGTGCAAATACACCGATTACGTTCTATTTCAGGTACTTGTATAACTGTAAAGATGTTACATTACGAAGAAACACAGCTGGAAGTCTGGGCTTCTGCATTGTAGGAGGTTATGAAGAATACAATGGGAACAAACCTTTTTTTATCAAATCCATTGTGGAAGGAACACCAGCATACAATGATGGAAGAATTAGGTAATAATGACTACTTAACAAAAAATTTATATTCAATATTTTATCTTACAAAAATTTGGCTCCATTTGAAATAAGGCATGTGTTTATTATACTTTTGTCAATTTCTAAGAAATCCAAAACAGTTACACATACTCTTGGTCTCAGTGCGAACTTCCTATACTTTTAGCATCTCTTCTAACACAAGATGAATGGATAGTGAGTTTGCAGAATTTGAGGAGAGAGAAAATATCTAAATTAGAAGTAATGTAATTTAAATGGATGGATGTAGCAAACACTGATATCACCAAAATAAACTTGCATTGATTTCGGCTATGGATTAAAATATTAATCATCATCTTTTGTTTTTTTAGATGTGGTGATATTCTTCTGGCTGTCAACGGGAGAAGTACCTCAGGAATGATACATGCTAGCTTGGCAAGGATGCTGAAAGAACTGAAAGGAAGAATAACTCTCACTATTGTTTCTTGGCCTGGCACTTTTTTATAGAAGCAATGATGGATCAGAAAAACA